ACTGACTTCGTGTGTGACCTTGGGCAAATCCCTTAACCACTAGGGCCAACATTTTTAAAGCTGGGTTTCTAAAGTTAGGTTCCTAAATCCACATTTAGGCACCTAAATAAAAGGTCTGAGCATTTGCAGCAGCCAGTGACCTCAGTGGGAACTGTGGGTCCTCATCACTGTTGAGCATCAGGATGAATTTAGGTGTGTAAAGTCCAAATGTGGGATGCAATGCATGACAGAGTCCTAAAATGAGGGACACTCATTTATTCAGGAAAGTCAGAGCCTACATGATTCCTTCCTGTAATAATAGATCGATCCGAAAGTGCTTTACAAGTATCATTATCCCATTTTACAGCTGGGGAAACGGCAGCACAGAGAGATAAGGTCACCCATCAAGCCAATAGGAAAGAGCTGGGAATGGAAGGAACCCCGGCTTCCTAGTCCAGTGTTCTAGCCACTAGGCCACACTGCTATAACCTCTGTGCTAGGGTTCTTTAGTTCTGCTGTAAAATGACCTTCAGTAATAAAACGGGGGGCGGGTGAGCAGATTTATGTAGGACATGGGTGAGTTCAGGACTAAAAGTGACGTTTTGTGGAATGACCGACACGAGAGGTTTGCTTTGCACCGTGCTTGGAAGATGCTCAATATTCAAGGAAACAGAGTGCCATCTGGTGGTTGAATGAGGAAGTGCTAATCTGGAATTAAGCATTTTCAGAAATAAACAGTGAAGTAAAACTATCCCAGTGAGTGTGGGAATTCAGCGTGTTGAGATGCCCTGGATTCCAGGTGCAAAGTAAGGATATCAGGAGACTGAAGAGCATTTCCAGGTAATCATGTAAGGAGCATGGTCCAGAACATTATTCAGTGGAACAGTCCATTATAAAAATAAAGAACTAAATATGCTCATCTCTGGTATCACAAACATCCTTGGTGTGAACAGGTGAATAATATTCATATTTATTGTATACTAGGTTTTTTTTTTTTTTACTCTATAGAACCTTTTACTCTGACGGGTTCTCAAACCATGTACATACATCACCATGGAAATGCAGCCAGGTCTGGGATGTGGAAGGCAGATAATGATGCAGGACACTTGTGAGGCACCTATATGAGAATGGTGGTGTGATGCTCTGGAGCAAACCTCAATGGGAGAAGCTATACTTAGAGCAATCCTGCTGGGGAGCTCACAGTCTGAAAAGACCAGTCACCCAGGAAGGTTAAGGGGAGGGGAATATGTAAGTAGTTCCATTCCAGGTGTAATATATGGGATTAAGGTAGAACTCCTCAGAAGAGTTTAAGAGCCCTCTAGCAGTCTCTCTGTGTTCCATGTTTTAGAAGCCACCAGAAACCAGACAAGCATCAATGTGTGTGAAGCTAGGCCTGGTAGGTTTGTGTATTGTGGCAGAGCTCTGACCTTGTCCCTGCAGGTACTGTGCTTCTAGGTGGTATATGCTAGCCTCAGTGGCTCTCTGTAACCTTCCACATAGCCCTTCTCTCTCTAGGGCCAGGATTACGGTCTACTGAGCTCTTTTCATCATAAGCCAGCAAGGAGGTTGGTGAGAGAACTCCCAGTCTATATTGTCCCTAGGGCTTGTTTTAGAACAATTTAGCCTCCTGTCCTGACAGGGGCCTGACTTCCCCTCCCAGGAGGTGTTCCTGTAGTGGTGAGTTGGGGGGAACCCGGGCCCGCCCTCTACTCCAGGTTCTGACCCAGGGACCCTAATAGTAGCAGCTGTTGGCAGCCAACCTTTCACTGCTAGAGTTGCTACATTTCCCTGGGCCACTTCCCCACAGCTCTCCTGCTTCTCCCTTCTTCACCCTTACCTTAGGGCTCCCTTATCAATAACTTGAGGGTGCCTTCATTAACCAGCCCTTCCACCACTCTGCCTCTCCTCTGCCTGACTGGAGTGAGCCCTTTTTATAGTATCAGCGGAGCCTTAATTAGAGTCAGGTGGTCACATTAGCGTAATGCCCTCACCTGACTCTTTGCAGGTTAATTGGAGTCAGGTGTTCTCATTAGCCTGGCACAGCCCCTGCTCTGGTCAGTCAGGGAACAGAAAACTGTTAATCCAGTGGCCAGTATATCTGCCTTCTGCTATTCTGCTGTACCCAACTGGCCTGGGTCTATCACAGTATGTTTGTGTGAACATGATTACTTGCAACCTAGATGTGCTCCTGCAGTATCTTCGGATTTTTTTTTGTTGTGTAAAAGAGCTAAAGACTCAGTAGTGGAGCTGGGTGGGAAGCAGTTTTCCTGTCCTGTGAGAATTGGAGAGTTAAAAAAATCCCCATTCTGAACTGGGATAAATTTTCAAAATCTCCAAAATTTTCACAAACTGAAAAGCCTCCTTGCCCACTCCCCCAAATCTGAATCAGGTCAATCAAAATGTTTTGACAATTTCTAAATGTTTGGCTTCAACTTTGACTTTTTATTGTAAATTACTTTAAATTTAGAAATAAAAAATCATTTCAAACCAAAAAACTCAGGACTTTTAGTTTTGAAAATGTCAAAATGGGATATTTCTACAATCTCTAAACTTGTTTGCAGTGTTTCTTGACACAGGAAATTCGTCAGAACTGGCCCTTTCCTGCGAGTGGTTTCAGCTTTGGTAAAATTTGCATTTTCTGGTGAAAAATGTGTTAAAAAATTCCCTGGCTAGTTCTACTGTCCCCCAGACTTTGGGCGTTGCTCATAGATGAGATGCCAGTTACCCCCATATGCCACTCACCCAGCTCATGGAAGAGGTGGCTCAGGAGGGGAGGAGATGAGAGCCCCAGGGAGTAGGGCTCACTGCAGGGGACTTTAGGCTCATGTCCTATCATATTATTTTAAGGCTCATTATCAACTGGCTCAGCTGTAATTTTGCAGCTTTGTTAAACCATTAAATCTTCTGCTGCAAACAGCCTCCAGTGGAAGTGAACCGGACTCCCTTTGACTTCACTTGGAGTTGGGCCTGTATTTATTCCAGTGCTGAATGCATTCCCCCCACCCCTGATTGAGAAAGGAGCAGCAATAACTTGGAAATTCAAAATGACAAAGTGTCGTATTTGGGGGCTCAGCTATTCCAATGTATAATACAGCTTGGACCCGCTTTGCACCCATGTGAACAAGTGCAGCCCAGCGCCCCTGAGCCAAGGCTCCCTCAGAACCCCCGATTTGCACATATGCATTGGTGGGAGGGGTGTGCGAAACAATGTGCTTGAAAGAATGGCTTAGGTCAGGGGTGGGCAAACTTTTTGGCCTGAGGGCCACATCGGGGTATGGAAATTGTAGGGTGGGCCATGAATGTTCACAAAATTGGGGGTTGGGGTGTGGGAGGGGGTGAGGGCTCTGGGGTGGGGATGAGGGGTTGGGGTGCAGGAGGGTGCTCCAGGCTCGGACTGAGGGGTTCAGAGGGTGGGAGATGGATCAGGGCTGGGGCAGGAGGTTGGGGCATGGGAGGGGGTCAGGGGTGCAGGCTCCAGGTGGTGCGTACATCAAGCAGCTCCTGGAAGCAGCTGTATGTCCCCCCTACATGGAAGTGCGTCCAGGTGGCTCTGCGCAGTTCCCTGTCTGCAGCTGCCACCCCTGCAGCTCCCATTGGCTGCAGTTCCCGGCCCATGGGAGCTGCAGAGGCGGTGCTTGAGGTGGGGGCAGAGTGCGGAGCCCTCTGGCTGCCCTTACATATAGGAACCGGAGGGGGGACATGCCACTGCTTCCAGGAGCCGCGCGGAGCCCCAGCACGTGCAGAGAAGGGCCAGCCCTGACCCCGCTCCCCAGCTGGAGTGCCAGAGCAGAGCAAACCCTGGATTCTGCTCCCCGGCGGGAGCTCGAGGGCCGGATTAAAACATTTGAAGGGCCGGATGCGGCCCCCGGGCCGTAGTTTGCCCACCCCTGGCTTAGGTGCTTGTTACCAGTGGAATTTAGTGCTGAATTAACACAAAGACCTGCATGTTCAGCCCCCCTCCCTTTGATTTGATGCTGATTGTGCTCACAAGTATGGCTGTGCAAAAGTTTTGTGTGTGAAGTTGTATGGTTGCTATTGATTTTGCACACACAGCACAGGTGTGTGCCCACTTTCCTGTGCGGCTTTGAGGCTGTTGACCCTGAGCGTATGATTAGATACTAGATCATCCTAATCCGTGCTCTGTGCTCCTGGCAGGAGACCCTGATTGTCAGCATGGGGCCAACATCCTCTTGTCTTGGTGTTGCTTTCCCAGAGGAGAGTTTTTATTTCACTGAGAAATGTCAAAGTCCACCAGGTTTTTCATGTGAAATGATTAAAAACTGCCCCACCTCCCCGGTGTTTATGTTTGGAGGCAAGAGGCCCTTGACATGAGTGGAATCCAGGGGCTGAAAGATCCTTTAACTCCTCTCTGGATTTTATGTCAGAGCCCACCACCTTAAAATTACTCTGCAATCACTCCTGAGACACAGAATCCCCAGCACAAAGACACAAATTAAACACACAGCAACCCATGTCAAAACCACCCTGGGACTTGCGTGTGACGTTTGCTGTGCCGAGCAGAGTCCTCGGGCATAGGCTGTCGCTGATAATGGTTGGCCAACCCAGAAAGGCAGGGCACCTGCTCACTTATTATTATTGCTCTTACAGAGCCCGAGTTGCTAGGCGAGATTGATGTTAAGGTCCCCCGTTGCTTAGCAACTGCCTGAGCCTGATGTTGCTTTTGGAAGTTGGTGACGGTTTGACAGCAGGAGATGCCATTCAGCTCTCTACATCTTGCTGGGTTGGGCTGGTTTGACTTTCTAGCCATAGGCACTGCTGGAGATTTCTCCCTCGCCTTTCTCTCTGTCACCTTTATTCTGAGAGTTAATCGGCAGATGGAAAATCACAAGACAGAAAGAGGCTAAATTCACTGATTATATTATTGGCTGAAAAGGATTAACTTGTCTCTAAAGAGGAATGAAAGTACATGCTCAGAAGGTTTGTGTTTTACACGCGTCTCTTTGGTACTTCGTGTCCTTGGGTGTAGAACAAATCCCGTCTAATTTTGTCATTGTCCGTAGGAACAGAAGCAGATCGTCTCCAGCACTCACTCAGCTGCAGACTGAGAACCCCACGCACCTGAGACAGCCAGGAGCCAGGGATACTCGCTCTGGGGACTTCACTATAATCTGTAACTGAGCTCACTAAAAGAGGGGCCTTCTTTGAGGGAAAGTCTGATGCACCCATACCTCCCTGCTGCTCCCTCTCTGTCTCTTTTCTACACAACAGTACTTGGGAGGCCAAAGGGCTTGAAAATGGCATTCATACCCAGAGGACAGTGCTTCAGGCCCTAGCTACCTTCCCTTCCTCCTGATCCCACGGCAGTAGCTGAATGTCATTGGGGATCAATGCACTTTTACAGCCCGCTGCGGTGATGGGAACTTTAAGGTGAACGATGCCGTGTCTTGAAACTGACACAGGCGTTTGGTAGAAGTTGTTCACTTGAAGGGATTTTTGTTCCTGATGCACTGGTGTCAGAAGTGAAATTTATTGACAGATTGCACTGATTCTCTCCTGCAATGGATCCCATGAGATGGGGAAGGAGCCCTAGCTTTTCCCACCAGCTGGGCCTGCTCTCATCTGAGTGAAGGGTCTGAAGGCTTCTCAGCTTTCTGCCTTCAGAGAGGTGCAGAACAGATCACCTTCAGAGTGTGGCCACAGCTGGAAACAGGACACCAGACATGGGGGATTCAGTGAGTCCTCTGAGGTGATTCAGTGCTCTGAGGTGATTCAGAGAGTCCTCTCTTAGATGCCCAGCTGCTGTGTCGTGCTCATGTAACGCTGACAGACCCCGGTCATCGGTGGGCAGGACTGAACTTGGGACCTGTGGAGCCTAGTGTATGAGCCTTTACTGCATGAGCTAAAAGCCACCCGGCTCTTAGCTAAGGCTGTAGCAAACTCATTCATCTCTAAGGTCTAGTTTACACTGGCAACGCTAACGCGCTTGTGTGGTCACGGCTCTAAAAAACCCACCTCCACGCCGGGTGTAGCTCCTAGCACTGGGGCACTGTTTACACTGGCACTTTACAGCGCTGCAACTTGCTGTTCTCAGGGGGGTGTTTTTTCACACCCCTGAGCGAGAAAGTTGCAGCACTGTTAATTGCCAGTGTAGATAAGCCCTAAGTGGTCACGGTGCCACTAGAGGGAACAGAACACCACACTCAGGAGATGTCTGGGTTACACTCACATGCTCCAGGTCAAACAGATCATTTGGGGTAGGGAAGGAATTTTCCCCAGCTCAGATTAGCAGGAACCTTGGGGGGGAGAGGAGGGAATTCACTTTCCTTTGCAGCGTGGGGCAGAGCTTGCCTGCTAGGATCATCTGGGCATATCTCACCTCATCAATTCCCTGCTATGGCCAGGACCTTGGACATTGGTGGTGTCTTGTTCTCTCCTGTGCTCTCTGCAGCACACAACAGCTTAGTCTCTGGCGGGCTGAAATGCTGTGCTGTAACTAATCATTAGGTGCACTGTAGAGATTGTGATGTTACACCCCATATTCTTCATAGAAATATGGTTATTAATATGGCATAATTAAGATATACTTTATGCAAGATGGCTCATGTAAGATATCATTGGAAAGGTTATGATTTACTGAATGTGATTATCCAATTTGTATGCATGTATCATTTCTGTATCTGAAGTTAGGAATATTGACTATGTAACTATTACAACTGTGTGAGTACTTGGGGAAACACCCACTAGACAGTAAGCAATCAGCCTTAATGGGCCATTAGAAAAAGACCATGAATCTTTGAAGATGGCAAGGGGGTGAATCTGGCCTCTTCTCCATTGCCTACCCAAGAAGAAAGACTGCTGAAAGTACCTGGAGGGACAAAGGAACTAACCTGAGGGGAAAGGCAGGGTTCCAGTCTGTAAGAAGAAATAACTGGAACTCTAAGCTACAGAAATTCTGCAACTTGCCTACAGTAACACTTAGGGTGAGAAATTACTTCTTGAAACCAGATTCTTTAAGATCTTAAGCTTAGTATGCATGTTTTGTTTTATTTGCTCAGTAATCTTTGTTCTGCTTGCTATCCCTTATAATCACTTAAAATCTGCCTTTTATAGTTAATAAATTTGTTTTGTTTATTATTACACCCAGTTTGTGCAATTTCTAACTGGGGGTGGGCAAGAAGTTGTGCGTATCACTCTTCACATTCAGGGAGAGGGCAAATTTTTAGGAGCTTGCGCTGTGCAGATCTTTCTATACAGCACAAGACAGTATTTTGGGTTTATTCCCCAGGGGCGGGGGGGAGGGGGAGAAGGGGGTGCACATGAGTGCTGGGTGAATCCTCTCACACAGAGCTCACTTCAGTCTGCAGCTGGGTGTGGCTGTACCTGTGTGTGTGTGTGTGTGTGTGTGCGCGCGCTGCAAGAGGCCGGAGAGCCTAAGGCCTTGGCTACACTTCAGAATTCACAGCGCAAGTGTAGTT